TTTGGGGGGAACCACAGTACAATTTTATGATTAAACCAGCTAGAAAATAAAAAAAATATTTTGCGAGTTACTTTTTTATAGATATTTTTATTTCATAAATCTACCTAATTTTGAAGGCGCTCGTTGTTTTCCGGAGTATTTTAATCAGATATATCAAAAAAGTGACTTCCGTTGACAATACTGATGTCTGGATTAATGATTCAGAATTATAATAATATGAAATTAGGTAGGCACTTATAGTTATATTCGAGGAGTTATTATGAATCCATTTGTAATTAGGTAGTTTGGTTAGGTTTTTATGTATTCTTGGTAGCGAATATGAAACCAAAAGTAACGTAAGTGCTTAGCGACGAATTTTAAGTAAACTAAAATCCAACGTAATATGACGTTGGTAATTGGTAGAATTACATTCCCTATTAGGTCAGATACCGACGTCGAGGCGACCCGAATCTGTATTCCCCATTTAGGTGCAAATACGGGTCGTCAGGCGGTCGAACCGACGTTGGTACCCGACGTCGGGTTCATTGAACGCGACGTATACCCGACGTTAGATAACGTCCAAATGCTACTTGGGAACCTACTACTATAATGTTTAGACCTTATATAGGCGACAGCCTAGTATGATTTATTTTCTAAATATCTCCCGTTAGAGAGAAGATAGAAAGTTGCGGTTTGCGCTAATATTTTGGAAATTTTGTGCTCTATTTAACTGTGAAAAAAGAAATATAGCCTCCTATTTAAATTTTTTATGCAAAAGCGCAATAATTGTTATGATGTCAAACAGCGCCCTCTAGCTACCACGAAAAAATTTCTGGAAACAAAATTTATACTGGAGATCATTAAGGAAGAAAAGCTCTTTTAAACGAGCCCTAGTTTGTTTAAATCGGCTAACCCAAATCAGAGTTATCCTTATTTTAATAAAAGCAAGTTTAACCTTCCTCCACCACTTTATTTTATGAGATAGAGCAAAATACTCTATATCAAAAAAATTACAAATTTCTCGATGATTACAACAGTATTATTTAAAAAACCTGTTCACCTGCATATTGTTACGTTTTTCGTCGGTTCCGTGTGGATAGAAAGTCACAATTTATTTAAACACAATTTATTTAACACTAATTAACAAAAACAATAACGATAAAAGACTTATAGAACTATTTACAAACGATTTATAACTAAGAATTTATTTTGAATTTTAGCGCGTCAACTGCACTGGTATATTTATAACTGCCCTCTCTAGGCCACTGCCGCCGGCTTTTTATACCGACAGGTAAAAGAAATCTAGAATAGTCCATAGATCGTTAGGCGCATAGAGAAGGTTTTCGAATGTTCTCGTATGTACTAGTCCATTCTAGTGGGTCTCGATTCTTCTCGAACGAATGAATCATTGCGGTGTCTATGCGATGTTAAGGTCATCCGAGGGCGGGCCATATTGTGAGGTTAGGTCGAGTCCACACCGGCTCGCAACAATATTTTTGAGAAAAACCCTGTTTTCTGATTGGCTATCAGAGAAACGCCCCCTAGCGGACATTTTTCGAACTTGAAAATAATTTCCGGCGATTTCTCTTGGTTGATTTACTTATTAGAATTTTTTTCGCAAAGTTATACGATAAGTAGTTTCTGAGATACAGCCGGCGTCCATTCTTAGTTGGCCACCCGGTACATAAGTCATCTTGATAAATACAATAATAAATGCGGGAAATTTCTTGAAGCTTGAAAGTAAGAAATAGTTCTTTTTTATATTTTTTTGGTATGCAGTGTTTTGTTCTTGTTTGTTTTGTATTAACAAGTACCGTTTTTTTTTTAGTAAAATAACTCGATTAGATTTTTTCAGTTTTATACAGTTTTTTTCATAATATTTTGAAGTAATCACTTGTCACTCAAATTTTAAATATATTTTCTTGCTATGCGTTCCAATTATACCAACTATTTCTTTGTAAAATAAAATAAACTACTTTGAAATTAAAATGACAGACACATCTATCACTGTCAAGGATCTTCTCGTTGGACAGACTATAGATATATATTATGGGAGGCGTACAATCTACAATCGTTAGTTATTTTTTATTGTACCGTGACACATGGCTGCTATTACCAAACATATACCAAACAATAGAGAATAAACGAGGAAGGCGAGGTGAAACCATTACGGACTATACGCAGATTAAATATAGAGGGCGCCTACGTGCACGTCATCGGGCTGTCAAGTCGTCGTCCGATCCGCTCCATCGCAACGGCCGTGACAAAATTGACGTGTTTTTGCCGCAAGCCCGTTTCCAGCGTCGTCTTCAACCGACGGCCGGCGTCGCGACGTCCGCCGTCCTCGTTCCGGCGCTCGTTAACGGCGCCTTTCGCACGTCAAATTATGCCGAACGCGCGCCTTAATGGTCGCTCTTTTTTCAGGCAACAGGCTGTCCCATTTTCGTATGTTCCATGGGATTTATTGATTATAAGTAGAGATACAAAGGTGCGGTTTTCACATCACTGTACAAATTTTTTATGAAGGTAAAGATGCTACAGACATCGCGCTTTTTATAACTATCTACCGCTGATTGAACCGCGATTATTTTGTCTGCTGTTTTGCATACGGCTTTTTAAATAAATAAACATGACATTCCACCAATCGACATGCATGTTGCAGGTTGAGAAGATTCCGAAATCACAATTTCATATGCGATTTTAAGACTCTTTGAAATTCTGCGAGAGAAGACTATATATATATATATGCTATATTGGCGAAATGGATTGGTTAGTGCAGATACGTAAATTCAAATTCAAATTCAAATTTCTTTATTAGACCCCATTAAATTTTACAGAATATTATTATTAATAAATGTGTGTCTAAAGGGATGTGTCTAAAGGGGATTAAAAAACCAATACAATGACAAAAAGTGCTAGAGTGGTGCGACTCCAAAAACAAAATTGAAATAAATTATAAAAATAAACAGAATTTTTTTTAAAATTAGATAAAAAAAGTGAAAATATAATTTTATCAGGGACGAGCGGAGAAAAGCAGAGCGGCATAACGAAACAGTGTGTAAAAACCGGAACAGCAACCAATGACGGGCATATCAGAAGAACAAGAACCTCACAAATCAGTCGACGAAATTATAATTTTTACGAATTTAGTGAATGATTTTTAATTTGTTTCTTATAATCTATAAAGGATTGAAATTTAAAGTTATTAGAAATATTATTCCACAAATGTGGCGCTATGAAACTGAAAGATTTTTGGAAGTTAGCTGTTCGGTGTTGAGGAATTTTAAAATAATGCACTTGCCTAGTCGAATGATCATGGTCAACGTAGTGAAACAATGAGAACAAATAGGGAAGCTGCTCTGTAGTTAAAATTCGATAAATGAATGTCATTAAATAAAGTTGTCGTCTGTTAGTCATGGATAAAATAGATAAATTTTTAAGATGTGGCGTTATATGATCTCTAAAAGGAATGTTAAAAGAAAACCGTAGATACGAGTTTTGAATAATTTGGATTTTTCTAGAGAATCTAGCGTTTATGGATGTCCCATAAACAACATCGCCGTAATCAAATAAAGATAAAATAAGTGTGTCACATAATTGATACTTAGTCTTTGATGGTATATATTTCTTAAGAGTCGAAAAATTCTTCAAACGCATATAAGCAGCCTTTAATTTAGTAGTTATATGTGCCTGAAAAAAGCTTCTCTATATAGAGCGTCGGCTACCTCTCGCATGTACTTGTGATGTGTGTCATCAGTGTTTCACAAGTACACGGGACCTACAGATTATTGCCGAATCCGAACGGCATATTTGAGAGGCTGTACAAGGCAAATATACTCAAGGTGGTTTGCCATTGCCTTCCTTGAGGTGGCGGCTCGTTGGTCGCTCTATTTAGATAAATAAATATTTTTATTTAAATAAATAAAGCGACCGTACTGGCTGGGAATCGAACCCAGTACATTCCGCTCCACAGATCGACACACTAACGCTGGAGCTACGGCCGGCCACTAACAAATGGATATCGCAACATTATCTATATGGATATACATGTTACCAGCCGTATTTGTAATTTTGTTTATATCACTACCAAATATTATAACACAAGATTTACCGGCATTTTATTTCAAATTATGATCCAGAGCATCTATATATAATTATGATCCAGAGCATATTTATCAATTTTATTAAGATCGTCGTTAAAATTTAACTGAAATTGTGCCAAATTATTAGTATCTATTTTGCAGTAAATTTGAGAATCATCTGCATATTGCTGCAATTTAGAAAACTGTAATTCCTTATCCATGTCAGCTACATATAACGAAAATAAAAGTGGCCCCAGAATAGATCCCTGAGGAATAAATAAATAAATATTACACTTACGTTAACTGTACCTACAGGAAGAAATTATGTAGAATATCATCGCAATATACAACTTCAGGGAACCAGACCACAAATGCTTCGTGCTACTTTAACATTAGAAAAATCTACTGCAGGCGAGGATAGAAATAGTTAACTATAACCATAAACTGTGATTCTTGGTTTTCGAATACTTTCTACAATATTTGCAGCTGCGCTACATGCTGTGGTATACTTTTTTTACCGTAAAGCAGGTATGCATTAATCTTTAACTTGCAGTTATTGTTCAGTCCTGTGTGCACTAGTGCTCTCCAACGGAAGACAAATGATGCAATAAAGTCTTGAAAGATAACATAAGGACCCCTTAATATTACCATTATTAATATGAAAGGTTAAAGTGGCATATCTAGAAGCACCACAGAATATTAACTATGGGGTATAATTACTAGATATTATGAAAATCCAGCCAGCTATAGTACGAGTATGTCCTGACATTTAGTGAAAATGAATATTCTTGCTTTATCCACAACGAAGGATGGTCAAAAGTGCTACTAATACCTTCGAGAAAAGGATGGTACAATTATTGTGCTCGACTTGGCGGAGGCATTGCCGTACCCCAAGATATACAGGAGCTATTAATATTATAATTATAAACATATACTTACAAAAATTATCATGCAGAAAAAAGCAGCAATGTATGAAGTCCTTGCCATCCACAAGCTCACAAATCGATAATGCTCCCCTGAGATAACATTTCTGTAACAATAACAACATAATTTACTACACTGCATTCAAAAATAACAGCTCATTACGCATACTTTACCTTAAATATCCTCGATTATCTTCCTTCTCGGCCAACGACTTGATCGACGCCATCAACAGATCATCGTAACCCAAAAACTCTTCCAAAATTAGACGACTGAAAGCGTCTCCAAAGCACTTGTCAGTCGTGGGGTCCAGAAATACGACCTGGACCGGTATTTTGAGTTTCGCCCTCGTGGTTGGATTCAGCCTCAAAAATCCGTACTCCAGAGAGTACTCGACGATGTACTCGTCTACCGAAGCACCTAGAACAAAAACTGTGAAAAAAAGTTTTTGTTCGAATTTCCCTTCACAGTATCTATACATGGTGGCGCCCCTCGGAAGCTCCAAGAAGAACGGTAGTTTATATCAAAATGAAATTTTGGCAGTATATGTAGATTAACTGAAAGCATTTTATAAAAATATATAGAATTATACAGAGTGCCCCCAAAAAAAGTTACACATCAAAGTTGTGTTTTTTCTAATGGAACACCCTATATATTAATTGATTTTCGGATTCGAGGAAAAAAATAACGATAAGTTTTATTAAAGAAGCATATACCTAAAATCTAAGGAGTTTGACATATTTCACATTTTGTGAAAATGAAGAGTAAATTTTAAAATGTCGATAACAGCTACCTAAATTTTAGTTGACCTTGTATAGCCTGATATTTAATTACAGTAACCATTGCATGTTAAACCAAATTGAAATTTGACCCGAAAAGTTATACAGGGTGAGACAGAATTAATATGGAACATTAGTCACTTTTAAAAGCAAGTTCCTCCTTTATTTTAAATGGAACACCCAGTATATTATTCTGGTGTTAAATGGGGAATTTATATGGCTTCAAAATATTATTAAAATTGCCTACCCCTCAGACAAAGATTTTCTTAGATATTTTAATTTTTATGATTTTGCGTCAGTAGATCTTTATTATTTGAAAAAATCTAGGGTGGCTGTGATATACCTTTTGTTAAAAAACCTTTTGTGAAAAGGATCTTTTAATTTTAAAAGTCATATGTGGAGTTCTACTTCGAAAAGCAGCTACAATAATTTATCTCATGTTGTCGACAACAGTTGGTCGAGTTTTTTAAACACTGTCTTTAACATATCCCCGTAAAAAAACCAGACTAGATAAAATCAGGAGCATTTAAGTATTCTATTAACTAACCTATTAACACCAACTAATAGAATCATATCAATTCTCTCTGATATAGGATAAGTTTGCATTTTCGGCAAATTTCTGAGAATTTTTTTGTGTTTTAACTGACACAAAATTATAACTAGTTGTTAAAGTTGGACTAATTAGATAGCTATGTTGAAGTAACGTCAGGCATATCACAACCACCTATAGCCTAAGAGCTGACGACATATTTAGAGAATATATTTTAGGCAAGCTAGAAAAACTAAAAATGTATAGTTTATTAACTGGTGAGCCCAGAATCCTAAGTCTGGCTGGGGGGTTGGGGGTATTTCGCTACTGCGCAACCCATAACATTTGCAAAAAAAATAAATCCAAAAAACATTCTTTAGGCAACTTGAAATTTGTTTATTCTTAAATTTTAGCATGTATTTAACCTAGAAATAAGTATGCCAGACTTTTTTTTCGGGTTTAAAGTGTAACCAGACCATTCCAAATATGTTTAATTATTATACCTGGAAAACATACTTTAGGCATTCTAAAATTTTTACAGCGTGTTTATTAGATGATATTAAAAAATATGTGTTAATTGCCAGACGAATTCAATGGGATTTAATACTTGCCAGACGCGAATAAAGATTTTAACCCGTCGGCAGCCGATGCGGCTGACGTAACAGCATTTTGGAGTCGTAAAAACTTAAAAAAAAACTAACTAATATTAAATAAATAAAAAGAAACATTTTTAACAAAATGTATGATTGAAATCCTTTCAATAAGAAGACTTTTTTAATTTAAGTATTTTGTATCTGAAAGAATAAAAAGACGAATAATTATTTAAAAATTAGCATAATATAAAATTTATATTTATATTAAAATTAACTATTTATTTTTAATTAACATATTATATTATTATTAATTTTTGCAACCTGATTGACAATATAAAAAGTCATTTTAACGCCTAAGCATAAAAGTAAAGCACTTTTACTTACTTTTGAATCTATTTAGAAAGATTAACAATGGTAGGTACTTTAATAAAATTCCAGAATACTTATTTTTTTAGCCCTGTACATGGTACCCTTTTGTCGGGATTACGTTTTCTGGTAAAACCACTTCTTTAAATTTTAAACCATGTTGTTGGTGCACTTTTAAAAATTCTTTGCATTTTTGTAGTCTGCCTTCATCAAAAACAATAATTTTGTCACTAGTAACTTTTTTACAAACTACACAACTTAAATGTTTTTTATCCATTGTGATTTAGTAGTTAGTAGCGAAATTAGTAGTTACTACAATATTTATTTGCAGTAATTATTCTAAACTATTTATTCTAAACTATGCACGTCAATATTTAATTTATAAATACATATTTGTACGTGGTAACTTAATTCAAACAAAATAATCTCTGAATTAAAAGCCTGCAAATAATTGAAATGAAACCGAAAAAAAATTGTTTTTATGAAAATTTGAAGTACATACCTCCAAAATACTGTTACGTCAGCCGCATCGGCTGCCGACGGGTCTCAATAAACTATCTTTCTCGCGCTTATAGATACTCATAAGACTTTTGTCGCGCTCATTTAAAATCTTTATTCGCGTCTGGCAGGTATTAAATCCCATTGAATTCGTCTGGCAATTAACACATATTTTTAATATCATCTAATAAACACGCTGTAAAAATTTTAGAATGCCTAAAGTATGTTTTCCAGGTATAATAATTAAACATATTTGGAATGGTCTGGTTACACTTTAAACCCGAAAAAAAAGTCTGGCACACTTATTTCTAGGTTAAATAGATGCTAAAATTTAAGAATAAACAAATTTCAAGTTGCCTAAAGAATGTTTTTTGGATTTATTTTTTTTGCAAATGTTATGGGTTGTGCAGTAGCGAAATACCCCCAACCCCCCGGCCAGACTTAGGATTCTGGGTTCACAAGTTATTAAACTTTATTTTTTTTGTTATTCTAACTTGCGTAAAATATGTTCTCTAAATATGTCACCAACTCTCCGGCTAGTAGATTTTATCAAATAATAAAGATCTACCCAGATCAAATCATGTAATTGAAAATATCTAGGAAAATCTTTGTTTGAGGGGTAGACTGCCTAAATAGTATTTTTAAGAGACATTAATTCTCCATTGAATATCGAAATAATATACTGGGTGTTCCATTTAAGATAAAAGGGTAACATGCTTTTAAAGGTGACCAATGTTCAATATTAATTTTGTCTCACCCTGTATAACTTTTTGGATCAAGTTTTAATTTGATTTAAAGTACAATAGTTAATTTAGCTAAATATTAGGCTATACCGGGTGAATTCCAATTTAGGTAGCTTTTATTGTAATTTAAAAATTGTTCTTTATTTCTAGAAAATGTTTAATATATCAAAAACCTTAATTTTGGTCATATACTTCTCTTATAAAACTCACCGTTATTTTTCTCCCAGAATCCGAAAATCGATTAATATATAGGGTGTTCCATTACAAAAAACATAACTTTGATATGTAACTTTTTTTGGGGACACCCTGTAGAACTCTATATTTTTAAAAAATGCTCCGAATTAACCTACGTATGCTCGAAAAATTTAATTTCAATACAAAATGTCGTTTAGATGTAGTTCTGCTCCTTTGGATATGGTTCCCAAGGCGCCCACAATAACCGGTATATTCTCCCAGAATCCGAAAATCGATTAATAAATAGGGTGTTTCCGTTACAAAAAAACACAACTTTGATATGTAACTTTTTTTGGGGACTATCTCTAGAACTCTATATTTTTAAAAAATGCTCTGAATTAACCTACGTATGCCTGAAAAATTTAATTTCAATACAAAATGTCGTTCTCTTTGGAGCCTCCGCGGCGTATGACAGCTGCCACCCTGTTACTACCTATTTAAAATCGTAAGTCAGGGAATTCAAAGTGTCCTGTTTTTCAAATTAATATTTTTTTTAGAAAATATGCGATAATTGTTTTGTGTGGTGTATTTAAAATACGATGTGCTTAAACAGCCGTTAAACGGTAGCCTAGTAAAATGCCGTTAATAGATATTGTGACGTCATTCATGTCGGCGGAAAGTAATGCCTAGCTATAAGCATTTTGCAAGAGCACCTGTGGCTCCGTGGCTGAGGCTATCGCTTCGTGAGCGAATTATCCGTGGTTCAAATCTCACGCCGACCAAGACTTTTTTATATTTTTTTTTTGCTTATAGCGTGATCTTATTGCATTGGTTTCACTCTTTTTGGTTGGATTGGTTTAGTTATTTGGCGGGTTGGTTAGCGTGGTTATTTGGAGGGTGTTAATTCATTGGTTAGTTGATTATTTGGTGGGGTTGCGAAAAGGGGTTATATGGGGTTGTGCTGTAGAGGTAGTACCTTTCATCAAGGACGGTCGCACTCAACGACATAGTCGGAGAGTGGTCGGCGATGACTGGTCCTCACAGGACACCCAATTCTCACTTATGGCTCGACGCGCCACACCCCGGGCAACTGCACCGACCTGCAGGCAAAATTAAGTGAGGATAGCCAGATATGGTGAATCTATACGCGTAAAAGAACGCACAAATAGCAGCGACTGACCCAGAGTGGGCGGCTGTGAACAGCGTCTGTTCCCAGATTGGGCGGCTGAAATTAACCTTGCCAACACGCAGCGGCTAGCGCGGCATTGTACTCTTAGCCAGTACCCTTACAAATGTCAGATTTCAAAACAAAACGGAAACTACCCCAGGTGAGTAAATACTCTCACACTGATTTATCAGCCTGTCCCAAGGATTCTGGGGGGGGACACAAATTTGACAAGAGTATGTCTGAAGAAATCAACAGTTCTCAAAATTGCAACCTTTAATACTAGAACTCTACTTTCTGAAGAAAGTTTTACCGAAATGGAAAAGGAATTGGAAAAGATAAGATGGGACATTGTCGGAATGAGCGAAGTCAGGAGACGAGGTGAAGGTCTCGAGACCCTAAAATCTGGTCATTTGTTTTACTATAATGGAGAACAACCCAGTCAATAGAGGTGTAGGTTTTTTCATAAATAAAAGGCTAGCAGAAAGCCTGAAAATCATCCACTCAGTATCCACTAGAGTAATATACGCCATTTTTAAAATAAAATAAACACTAGATATAACCTAAAGGTAGTTCAAGTTTACGCTCCAACAACAGAACATACAGACGAGGAGATTGAGACTTTTAATGATGATTTATGTACAGCTATCTCAAATAACCATGCGGTGACTTTAATGTCAAATTGGGAACGAAATTAGATCCATCAGAAACTGCCTTAGGCAGTTTTGGAAGCCCAGGACGAAACGATCGTGGTGACACTCTTTTAAATTTGCTATTAGAGAAAAACTTGTTTCAAATGAACAGTTTCTTCCAGAAGAAACCCCACCGCAGATGGACATGGAAAAGCCCAGATGGCAGAAGGAAAAACGAAATCGATTACTTTATCACTGACAAAAGGTACTAGAGATATGTATATATCACTGACAAAAGGTATTTAGAGATGTAACGGTCCTTAATAAATTTGCAAAATCAAGCGACCATCGAATGGTGAGAGCCACAATTATATTAAACACCAATTACGAACGGCACAAAATGATAAGGAAAAAACAAAGTAAGACATGGACACACCCGAGAAGTATACAGGAATTCGGAAACCACATCACTCAAACCCTTCAAAACATATCACCACCAAACGATTTTAATATCCTAAATGATATAACAGTAGAAGCGATAACGGAAGCACAAAAGAAATGTTGCCCAACAAATTTGAAGGAGGAAAAGATCAGTTTGGAAACACAACGCAAAATAGAACAAAGAAGGAAATTGAAAAGCGACGAACACGCCAGTCAAGGTGATTTGAATAAACTAAATAAGGAAATATCAAGAGAAATCAGAAAAGACATAAGAAAGCACAAAAACGAAAAAAATGTTAAAACTATAGAGGATAATAAGAGCATGAAAATAATAAGACGCAAGCTCACTAATGGAAAAAAAGAAATCGTCAAACTCAAGGACAAAAATGGTAATATAACATCGAATAGAGAACATTTATTACAGATTGTGGAAACATTCTATGAAACACTATACACTAACCATTCTACTCTAGACTCGAGGTACCTACAAGGAAAAGTTCAAAATCAGGGTTCTGAGGATGTTCCGGAAATCTCTGTAAGTGCAATTTACAATGCTCTAAAAAAGATGAAGAACAATAAAGCTCCGGAGGATGATGGTGTCGTCACAGAAGCGATAAAGATGGGAGGAACAGTATTATTGACCAATATTCAACGGCTGTTCAATCTCTGTCTGGAAAATCAAAATATCCCTACATAGTGGAATAACTCAATAATTATCCTCTTACATAAAAAAGGAGACATAGCAGACCTGGAAAATTACAGTCCAATTAGCCTTCTTAACCATCTTTATAAACTATATACCCGAATTATAACAAATAGACTAGAGGCAAAATTGGACTTCTACCAACCTAAAGAGCAAGCTGGTTTCCGTTCCGAATTTGGTACCAACGATCATCTGCAGTGTTTAAAAACCTTAATAGAAAAAACCATCGAATACAATCGTCCCCTAGCACTGATATTTGTCGATTTTAAAAAAGCGTTCGATACGGTAGAATTACCCGCCATACTAACAGCGCTACAAGAATGTAGAATCGACCATCGATATTTTAACATAATAAAAAACATATATGACAACGCTACAACGACTGTAAATCTACATTCCACAACTAACCAGATAAAAATAAAAAGGGGAGTTAGGCAGGGCGATACCATGTCGCCAAAATTGTTTATTACTGTTCTTGAGCATGCATTCAAAATGCTAGCTTGGCAACAAAAAGGAATAGTTATCGATGGAGAGAGACTCAACCACCTACGCTTTGCGGATGATATCGTTATAGTGTCAGATAGTCTGGGAGAGATCAAAGACATGCTTCAAGAACTTAACGATGCATTACACGAGATTGGACTAACAATAAATTTTGACAAGACTAAGATAATGACTAATATGGTGTCCAGCGAACACATACAAATTCACAACAACAGAATAGAATTAGTCCACAAATATGTATACTTGGGCCATGAGATCAAAATAAGCAGAGATAACCAAACCTGGGAACTGGCTAGACGAATTACCTTGGAATGGGCGGCTTACGGAAAAATGAGTGGCATCTTTAGAGCAAATATCCCAATACACCTGAAAAGAAAGGCATTTAACCAATGTATCCTCCCGGTTTTGACCTATGGCGCAGAGACACTCACTCTAACAAAAGGAACCGCAGAAAAATTGAGAGTGACACAGAGGCGGATGGAGAGATCTATGATTGGGCTGACTTTGAGAGATCGAGTAAGAAATGAAGAGATACGCCGACGTACGGGAGTGGATGACATTATCCAGCGAATCACAAAACAAAAGTGGAGATGGGCTGGACACATTGCTAGAATGGCAGACGGGAGATGGACCAAAACTTATAGAGAGTGGAGACCAAGAGCCGACAAGCGTAGCCAAGGCAGACCTCCCACCCGATGGACCGACGACCTGAAACGAATAACAACTAACTGGACTGCAACAGCTAAAAACCGCGAGAACTGGAGACGTTTAGAGGAGGCCTATGTTCAACTATGGACGTGAAAGGGGGCTGCGTTATGATGATGATGATGATGATTTGTTTTTTATATTTTTTTATCAGTGTCGAGGTTAGTTGCATTGGTTAAGTTGGTTATTTGTTGGGGTAGATAGCGTTGGTTACTCCTTATAAAATTCCTATATTTCATAAAGCCGTCAAGTGCGTCACATCAACGACGTCATACCTATTAACGGCATTTTAGTAAGCTACCGTTTAACGGCAGTTTAAGTACAGCCTTTAAAATAATCTATTTCATTAACCTCTTTCAAGATGATGCGTCGATTCTTGGATGGTCGTACCCGCAGAGTTCCTCTTTCTACCAATAGTAGAGTTAGAAATAAGCCTTCTTTTCTCAGTGTGTTCGCTGTGATCCAAAGCGTCCAACAGACTCTTAGGAGACTCAGTAATCATATCAGTCCACGTCCGTTTGGTAGATGATACGTTCAGCAATTCGTTCGGGTATGAGTGGTCTTGGAGCGGCGATTCAGTGATAGCCATGGAACCTTCAAAAGCAAGAAAATAATGTAAGACTAACTAAATAACTTTTTAAGGGGATTTAGGGAATAGCTCTCGGCTGTATCTCGGAAAGTATTAGCCGTAGGGCCTCCGGAAAAATATTTGTAACTAAAGAGGCTATGAGAAACTGTTGGAAATTATTTTCAAATTTGTAGAAGGGCCGCTAGAGGGCGCAACTGCTCTAAAAAAATAAGAAAATTGAATTTTTACAAAATTTTTCGTAGATAAGGTGTACTATAATAGCTTCATAATAATCGATAAATTTTGAATATTTATCGTTAGAACCATTTTCCCTTATCTGCCAAAATAAAGTGCTGGAGGAATCTTAGATCTGCTTTTATTTAAATATTAATAACTCCATACTGGATGATCGGAATCCAACAAACGGGGGCTCGTTTAAAAGAGAATTTCTTACCCTATATTATACCATATAAACCATATAAACAGTAATAATAACCTTTTGAAGGTAGACGCTAGGGGCGCTGTTTTACAATTTAACAAATATTGTGCGTTTTTTTTAATTACTTAAATATGGTAGTATACGTAATTTTAGCTTATACTAAATAGTAATAATAGCTTAAAAAGTCAGCGAAAACCGCATCTTCATATCTTTTTTCAAATCAAAGTTATTAGCAAAATTACAATAAATACGAAAAAATAAGTCATTAATTACCTTATTTTTCTCTTGATTATCACCATATCTCGACCTTATCTCTTGATTATGACCATTCTAATAAAAATAAGATAAAAAGGGTTATTTTATTCAAAAAATCGACAATGTACAAGAATACTATAATACTAGGTGTATTAAGATCTATAAATTAATATATCAATGACAGTAAACAAAAAATGACGTCTCAGTGAATTCATGGTAGGCTTTAGAAAAAAGTTGCTTTTAAAGGGATAGTTTAAACATCAAAATATTATTATATCAACATTTTGATTGTCTCAGCAGCGTTTTTTTATCTTTTGATGGCTTTTCTAAAAATACCTTTGTTCAAAAGAGAAAAAACGCTGCTAAAACTATCAAAATGTTGATCTAATAACACTTTGACGTTTATACTATTAGGTCAAAACATTGCCTGGAAACTTATATGGTGAAATTTTGATAAAATAATTTAGTACTCACTAAAAACACGGTATATCGCTAGTGGTAGGAAAAATAATTTTTAGAGGGTACTAGTTTATTTGGTTGCCTGTGATATGCATATAGAGGGTGTTTCCTAATTAATCTAAAAAATAAAAATCGTTAGAAAACGACTTAAGGCGGGCTCTTAATAAGTATATTTATTTTTTTCTCGGCAACCGTTTGATGAACAAGAAAAACTCAAAAGATCAATTTTGTTGAAAAAGGATGACCAGTCAAGAAAAAAATATATTTTTTTAAAACAGCAGTAGTGTACCATTTATGTTAAGCAAAATATCGATTTTTTTTAATTTTTAACACCCTGTAGATCAGAAAGGAAGTACTTTAGACCCAATGGTTATATAAAAATTGTTTTAAGAAGACATGAGGAATCACACCACAATTTTTTAGACTAATTAGAAAAAACCCTGTATATTGTCAACTTGACAATGATTGTTGATACATCAAAAAATACCTTTTCTGTGAAAAAAGCCCGATTTTCGCAGGAAAAATTTTGGTTTTTATTGAATTTCGGCCTACGTCTGCATATACCGGTATGTTTTTTAATATTCTTATCTATCTAAATTTTAAATATCATAGTCAGAAATAGTTTTATTATTTATTAACTGTAAAAATGGTATACTTATAAGTTTTGCCAAATATTGTGATTTACTTTTTACCTTGTAGTCAAAATTTATATTTAATAAACTGTTAAATATATATATTCTTATGTTTTATTAAAGTTACTCTGATATACTAATATATCAGTGTAACTTTAAAACTAAATCCTTTGAAATCTAATATAAACATAAAAAATATTTACAGCAGAAAAGGCGAAGGCGCTGGGTTAAACGTAGTCTCTACTAAGAACACGGAGAGCGGAGAGGCGCTTTGACCCAAAATTTTAGTAGTAAGTTTCATATCTATCTTAATAGAATATTATTTTCTTTTATCTATGGGTCAAAAGCAACTTTTTTCCAAAGCCTACTATGACTTCTCTGAGGCGTCGTTTCTTTTTCACTGTTCATTGATATCTTAATTATTAGATAGATATTGATACATCTGGTATTATGGTTTATGGTATTCTGGTATATTGTCGATTTTAAAATAAACTAATCGTTTCTATATTATTTTTTATTAGAATGATCATAATCAAGAGGGCTACTGTAACCGTGTAATAATAAAAAATAGTAATAAAAGTAAGGTAATTAAGGGTTCATATTTTCGTATTTATTATAATTTTGCTAATATCTTCGGTTTGAAAGAGGATATCAAGATGCGGTTTTCGCTGACTTTTTAAGTTTTTAATTATCTTTACTATCAGCTAAAATTACATATACGATTGTATTTATTTAAAAAAAAAGCTCAATGTTTGTTAAATTACAGTTGAGGGTTGGAACCTTTGGTGTTACACAGCAAAATAAAAACACTAAATCACCACAATACACCAAAACACTTTTACTTTTACACTGGACGCGCGTTTCGCTAACCATGTTAGCATCATCAGCAGATGATTATAAACTAAAGTACAATCTACAAGTTAAGCGTTTATATACTCGCTCAGTGGGCACCGAGTGGGCGTGGCAAAATCTAGCCAAGCGAGTCAGAGCCCACTGAGCGTAACAGTTAGATTTCCGCCACTAGAGTAGTAGGAACGAAGAACTTGAAGGAATTGTCTTTGTTGTTACTATCTGTCTCTGTTCATACTATCTTTACATTTATTAATTCTGATGCTTTCATATGCATCTAATTGCCTGTAATTTGAGACTTGTTTAATTAATTTTAAATTATTAAGATCCATACAATGTTCTTTATCAACAATATGTTCGGCAACGCAAGATTTATCCGGTCTACCATATCTTATCTGAGCTAAATGTTCTTTAAATCTAGTTAATATTGATATTCTAGTTTGTCCAATATATTTCTGATTACAATCTTTAGAAGAAATTTCATAAATACCCGACCTTTCCAGTGGAGGTGTTTTATCCTTTGGATTACCTAATAATTGTTGTAATTTATTATTAGCACTATACACAAGTTTATAATTGACATTCTTAAAAATTCCTTTTAGACCACGGGATAACTCTCTATCAAACGGTATCGAAAAATATTTAGACGTATCTTTCTCCACTTGAAAAGTCGAATTTTCAGAAATCATTAACCTATACCTACGTTTTCTAATTAATTTATCAACTAGTAAAGGAGAATATCCATTACACTCAGCTACATTCCTAATGTAATCTCTTTCTATTTCATATCTTTCGTTGGAAAGTGGGAAACTAAGTAACCTATGAACTAAGAAATTTAAACTAGCCATTTTATGTTCAACACTATGATGTGATTCATTAGGAATATATCTGCGTGTGGTCGTATTTTTCCTATAGATATCAAATGCCAGGCAATTATTAGTATTTCTAATAACTAATACATCTAGAAATGGTAATCTGTCGTTGTTCTCAATTTCATGCGTAAATTTAATGGAAGGAAAACGATTATTTAACTTAGAAATAAAATTATCTATAGTGTCTGAATGTGTGTCAAAAACAGCAAAAATATCATCCACATACCTAAACCATACTCTTGGAAAATACCCAAACTGATTCTTAGCCTCCACTTCAAACCTGCTCATGAATAAATTAGCCAAAAATGGAGACAATGGATTACCCATTTCTGTACCTTCCCGCTGTTCAAAAAAGTTGTTATTAAATTGAAAACAATTTTGTTTCATACATAACGATGTAAGCTCAATATATTCACTCACAGTTTTGTTGTCGAGACCATTTGCGTTCAGTAATTCCTTTAAGTAGCCTAAAATATGTGGAATTGGAACACTTGGGAACAACGAAGATACATCAAAGTAGACCAAAATTTCACCTTCATGCAATGTTATATCTTTAATTTTGTTAATGAATTCAATATTATTTTTAACTGAGAAAGAAGGTTCATGATCAGGTAAATTTTCGAACTCCCTTGATAACCATTTTGCCAAATTATAAGTCGGAGAACCTACAGCCGAAACAATTGGGCGCATAGACTTGTCCGGCTTATGAATTTTTGGCAAAGCATACAATTTTGGTAATGAGGGATTGGATACTATTTCCTCTTTAAAGAAAGATCAATAAGATCAACCCTACATAAATTTGAAAAAGAATCCTTTGTCTAAGATGGTAGCAGACGTTAAAAAACTCTAAAAAATGTAACACACCACTTATTGATCTTTCTTTAAAGAGGAAGTGGGGAAATCAATCCCTCATAACCAAAATTGGCGTAGCTGCCAAAAATTCATAAGCCGGACAGATCTATGCGCCAGTGGTGTTCGACATCATAGTGTTGAACATAAACTGGCTAGTTTAAATTTCTTAGGTTCATAGATTACTTAGTTTCCCACTAATTCATTAACAAATGTACGGTACAGTGTAATGAATATTGATCTCCGACAAATTCAATTAATGCGAAAACTTTAAAGGTACTGAACGCAAATGATCGACTCTTCTGAAAATGTCGACTATTGAGCTCATCATGTGAAAAAATATTTTCGAATTAATAACTTTGCACAGCAGGCGTTACGGCAATGGGTAATCTCCATTTCTCCGACAGGTATTCATGAGCTAAATTTGGTGGAAATCTTACATTAATTTTGGTATTGTTTAGTTAGGGTATTTGTGGATTTTAACACATTCCGTCCATGGTTCATGTGGGTTATTTGAAGTTAAATAATCGTTTTCCTTCCATTAAATACGGATGAGAACGGACTTCCATTTCTGACTGTGATTATAAATAGCTAATAATTGCTCGCAAATTCTGAGAAAGACCACCAGTGAATAATTCTATCGTCACATCAGTGCTGAACAAAAATGACTG